CTTCCTCCTATTATTTTTCTTAACGGCCAGTCTACAAGAGTTCCCAAGATATTTGCAAGAAGCCTGCCATCATTCTGCTTGCGCAGTGGGGTCCTATATAAGAATTTTTCCTCTAGCAAAAGTGGCGACTTACATGTCATTCTGACATCCATTCACGATGAAATCCTGAGCGCTTGCCACGATGAGCCAACCTCCGGTCACCTCGGATACACACGCACATTGGCCAGAATCCAACAGAAGTACTACTGGCCGAAGCTTCCAGGCGCTGTAATGCATTACATCAGCACGTGCCTCGATTGTCAACGACGAAAATCCCCACTTTTAAAACCAGCCGGATCGTTGCAGCCAGTTCAAGTGCCCACCATGCCTTTTGCACAAATCGGAATGGACCTCCTTTTTGCAACTTTGCACACTGGAAACAAGTGGGTAATTGTCACTACCGACTATCTTACTCGCTACACAGAACACCCGAAGACGGAGGTTGAACGACGAAGATAGCCGCTATCATCATTAGGGGATTAGACCGGCATTCGGAATAAAGAAGAGGTCGACGGATGGGCTTCGCCATAGGCAAACGCCCGAAGACGTAGGTTGAACGTTGAAGATAGTCGCTATCATCATTAGGGGATTAGACTGGCATTCGGAATAAAGAAGAGGTCATCGACGGGTGGGCTTCGCCATAGGCACGGCGGCTCGTCCTTTCCTAAACATTTTGGTGCCGTGAAACCCGGGAGGAAGGACCTTTGGAGGTGAGACGGAGTGGACTTCAGGAATTTCGACCGCAGTCGTAGCCTTGAGGACTTTTGTGAAGCCGCTGTGGCTAAAGCTGATGTGCGAGGCCTAACCACCGCCGAGACCTGAGAGCGCAACTCTAGTTGGAACTGAGACCACTAGGAGCACCAATGGACTGATGTGAGTACAGGCATCGTCTGGAGGTTCGCGAGACGGGAGCCCTCACATCTACTTCGGCTCCGTCCTGACTCGCCCTTCACGACGACGGCCCGATATTCACAAAGCAAGGCAGTCCATAGGTCAACGAAGAACATCTTGGCAGTGCAGCCTCGTGAGTGCAGGCACCGTCTGGAGGCTCGCCAGACGGGAGCCCTCACGTCTTCTCCGGCTCAGTACTGACTCGCCCTTCATGACGATGGCCCGATATGCACAACATCACGAAGAATGACAGCACGACAAGTGACAGATATTCGTTGTGCGAACCTTCTGCGATGGATGCCGTGACGACTCCAACTTCGCCTCGTGACACGGCCGGCCAGTGACTTTTCACACTTCCGACACTAGACCGGATCATGGAGGCCCTCTACGAAAGGTGGAGTCAAACACACAAGGCCGCCACGCAGGTCATCGCAGACGTCGAACGTCTTCGGCAATCAGATTGCCCACCAATCTCTGAGTTACGATGTATTCACCGAGTTTTGATTGAGCAATATGAGGAACTCAGAAGAATCGACCAGGAGATAGAAGATGCAGTTGACATCAATGATTTGGAAGCCGAGATGGAGCAGGCGGAAGTTTATGAGCGCCAGATCATTCTAGCGAAAGTCAGAACCGAATATAAAATTGCTGACATATTAAAAGTACGGCAGGCTCGTTTGGAGACAAAAAGACTACAGATTAAAATGGAAGCAGAAAGAAAGGCACCCTCTGCGTCACTAACATCCAGCCAAGGCCTATTAGACAGCAATCTTGTAGCACAGATGCCAGTCGAGTTAGCCTCAGGACATAATCTTGAGCGTGGTGGAAGCCAATCAATCAGGACCTTGAATGAAGTAACGACCATCGAAGGAGCCTGCGCAGAACAACCGCTACTTACAAGGGCCTTGCCCACGCCTGCAGAGTCGTGCCATACCTATGAACCTGTTGTCAAGACATCTAAAACAACTCCAGTGTTCAAGGTGGAAGGCATTCCCATGATTGAAAAGGGGGAAGACTTTGTAGACCCTAAGGGCCACCCACTAGATGTTGAGAATACGCCCAAGCCAAGGCTGGCAGATTTAGATGTTGTAAAGTCCTCATCGACCTGCGTACAAGTGCCCGATGAAGGAAAATCAAGGTCAATTCTCAAAGCGACAAGAAGCAGAAGAAAGAAACAAAAAGCCACGATGACACAAAAGCCAGCCCCTTGTGCTTCTGAAAGCTTAGGTTCTTTGAGAAAGCTACAGAAGTTAATATTGAAGAGAGTGTGCAAGGCACGTCTTATTTCCGCAAAGTTGATAAATGCTGACTAAGCGCAACAGCGGCGAATGAGAGAGACCAAACAAAGGCGGAAGCAGAAGGGTTACAAGGTAAATGCAGCAACGAACAGAAAGCAAAGGGAAAGGTTACTCAAGTATTGCTACACGAGATCTTTCTGGAAGAGTCCTATCTGCGAATTTTCATGCCAACGAAACTTGCTCAATGACATTGCAGGTTCATCAAGGTCAACGCATTCAGAAGCACGAGTGTGGAACAAGCGCCGAAAGCACAGCTGGAAAAGCAGACGCGGTTGGATATCACGAATTTTCCCACATAGACTGACCTGGACTGACAAGTACTCTTGAACAGCGTGTGCTTCGAACATGATATGTGTTAGTGTTCTTCATCAGGAACTGTTAATGCGGGGGCGCGGAGGATGTTAAATGTTGTGTGAATGACGAAGATAGTCGCTATCATCATTAAAGGATTAGACCGGTGTTCAGAATAAAGAAGAGGTCGACGGGTGGGCTTCGCCATAGGCACGGCGGCTCGTCCTTTCCTCAACACACACCTCATTTGACTCCGACAGTGCTTGCGCTTTGCTCTGTTGCTGTGCATTTCATGGCAGCAAAGTATAGCTCCTATATAGCAAAATTATTGTGCAGACTACCACTCGAAGCACACTGAGCTCATTTCAAAGAAACAAAATTTTCGCAGAGTCACCGACTTATACATCACAGCTTGATCCCATAGTGCCTAAATGAACTCCCCGCGTACAACACTAATTTTTAAACATCACTACTGTGTTTATCACTGCTAATTTGCAGTAGCAAGCATAATTACTCAATAGAATGTCATGACAAATTGAAAAGCCGTACACGATCACCAATTTCATACTATTTTCAGATCCACATGTTGTGCTCAGCCTTCTGCAAAGGATTTATTCTATGGGCCCCCTTCACACCGGATCACGGACTGTGTGCGTTCGCTTGCTCTGTAATCCCACACCCATGGCCGCTACCGTGACCAAATAATTTGGAAATTAGTGTCCTAAGTGCAGTTGACAGCTATTTCAAAGCTGCTCGCCTTTTAATAAACTGAAGTATAGGCCTGCATTCCATACTTATCGGGCAAGAAGTCCGAACTACAATTGCCTAACCTTGCGCAGGCCATTTTTTCACAGGCCGTAACTGCAAGTGAAACCACATTATGCAACATGTTTTTATCAACTGTGAAAGCTGATGTGAAGGAGAATAGGTGGGGAAAGTTTAATAAATGTAAAAAAAATCTTTTTTTTAATTGTCGTCAGAAGTTCTTGCATGCTCTTTTTTTTGAATTTAGCGTGATTATATCTTTTTACTGAAAAGTGTTATTATAAGCTCAGGCAGTTTTATAAATAAGCATGCTGAGAAAGGAATGCAGAATTTTCACCGCTCTGTATTCAGCCCTTTTAGATATAGAGGCCTGTAAGCTAAGCAAAAAAAAACATTTTTAGGGAGAATTTTTATTTAAAAATGTACAGTATGCAGAGAATATAAATATAATTGAACCTAAGTGCAAGTTTGCCTATATTTCGCTAAACAAATTTGAGGGACATAGCTATAATATATTTTGTGTAATTCATTGCCAAAGTTGAAAAAAGAACAGAAGAGCAGGTAAGCATGGCACTCCATCTTTTCGTCCACGTTATTGATTTACGGTGCTTCTAAATAACGTTTTCCAACAAAAAACAATCGCGGATCTCTTCTTTATACTCATCAGGCAACAGTACATAAAATTTTGAAAGAAATTTAAGAGGCCGACCAGCCATGCTTTGTTTGATATTACGTGGAATCACCATGCTATCGCATTCGTTGCTGATCCGTTGCTGTAACTTCTTTAGTTATGTACAGCCGACCATCACGTTTTTTTCTTTACCCGAATGCGCAAGCGTGAACCACTGAGTCTAGAAGCGCTGTATACTGCAGCACAGTGGTGAACTGAGTACACTTTGATGAGCAGTCTTCCAAACTGTTCCAGGAGCCTGAAACCATTGTATCGTCATCAATTTTTTTTTTCTATTCTGAATGCTGCCATTAAGCTATAAAAGAAAATCAGCTTAGCAGCAAGACGAAGCAATGAATGCAATAGCAACAAATTATTACATTATACAAAGTACAGCTGGCAGCTAATTCCTATGCATCTGATATCGCGTAACTCTACATATCATTGGAGAGATGCTTTTCTAGCTGCCTCTCCTCGTTGAGAGCGCAGCATGTAAAAAGGGTTAAGAGCCATTTGGGCTGATGCCTGCCTAAATAGCGCATGGGGCATCCATCTCGAAATTATAATCAGTGTTCACAGCTGCTGCTCTAGTGATCACAGTTTTGATGAAACGGATAATATAACTGTTTTGATGAACAGCCACGTTTTCAGGCTCGGGGGACCGTTGCAGCTGCATTAAGATGCCGCAGCACAATATGGCACTGATAAGAGAGTTGGGTGCAACAGGGCTGGTCAAAGCAGGATGGCGCAGGTAAACCAGTTTGCCACACAATGGTACAAATAGCGCAGCTCTTTCTCCCATGGGAGAACGACATCACTTTGTCACATATTGAGACCTACACCAAACATTTATGTTCCACACCAAACAGGCAGGGTGGCAGACACTCCGTTTCCCCAAAAGCATTTGGCACATCGTCACGACTTTCTACACTGGTTGTCCCCACATGGGCATGGTTGGCTAGGGAACAACATCATGTACACTGAACATGCTGCCACACATCCCGTATAAAGTCAAACAACACACATGCACTATGAGTAACACTTACAATTGGAGACGTAGTAACTCAGGAAGTGATCCCCATGGGAATACATGTCTGCAGGACGGAAAATTATGGCTCCAGGAAATGCTTCTTTAACCAGCTGCTCTCCCAGCCACTGCATCATGAATAGAGGCAATCGATTGATGGTGTTTCTGCCCCTTTGGACATGTGCCTTTGCATGAATGCTATCTGGCCAGCTCAACAGGCAAATAAATCTAAGCACCAGCACAGTGATTTGTGTGAATACAAACCAAACAGTAACTTGACGAAACATATTAACGGAGAACACTCAGAAAAAAAAAGTCGGACAACAATTTAAAAGGGCATTCTCCGTTTGGCTCTGTAAAAGTAGCTGTGCTGCTATACAAGCATCTCCTCCGCATTTGCTGGGAGGATAACAATCACAGCTGACAATTTTGTTCAATTTTGGCCACCGAGCTTGCTTGAAGGTGCGCAATACAAAGTACTAGTCACATGGTGCAGTTATGACCTTTACTTTTTGTTGCAAGAAAAGTACAGAGCAGCCAGAAGTGTTTCTAGAGGAGAAAAAAAATCACAGCACATTCACGGAGTGAATGATGATGAGGGGGCAAGGTTCCGAGGGTTTGATCGGTAAATCGTGAACCGTTTGTCCGTCCGTTCATCTAGTGAACACTCCAAGTACCGCCATCTAGTTCTATAACATTTCAAATCTTTTCATCATAAATAAGTGCCACGATCTAGTGAACAGTGCAAGAACTAAACTAGAGGTGGCTACCTACAACTACATACGTCGAGGATGTACAGACCCACACCTTAAGAAGCTTCGCCCCTAAAAATGCTAGGCTGAAACAGGCATTTTTGGAGCAGATGGCAGGATTTTTAGAACAGCTGTAGTTCAATGCATTGTCTGAATTTTCCTCAATTGAGCCTCCCCTAACTCTTAAATATTATTGTTTATCATGAAAGGTATTTCACACACAATTAACATAAATTGCAAGAACTATCGTCATGAAATGAGCTGTACATTTATTGTGCCAGTGCTTCTGGCAGACAGAACTAGTGATGCGGAGCACCACATTACAGAACAGTAATATGCAACTATTGCTGAAGCAGCAGTTGATAACAGATTAAATGACCTGCATGTCGAGTTGAAAAAAGAAAATACAGTAGACTCGCGATAATTCATACTTTCAGTTAATTCAAAGAAAATTAAATTTCTTGCTCATCCCACTATTCTTTCAATTTATTTAAAAGTCTCTTAATTGAAACTCCATCCTTCGGTTAATTCATACTTTTTGTAGGTCCATAATAGAAAATATCAGCTGCTTTCCCACTACTATTTAAAAGATTGTGTGCTTATATAATCCTAAATGTCTAAAAATAAAAATAGGCACCTGAGGCCTTCAATTTTTTTAAAAAGGCTTTGCTAGTAAACAAATGTTTGAAACGAAGCACAGCCATGGTAAACCGTGATGCTTTTTGACTGGTATAGAGAGCTTTGTGTTGAATGCACATACCTATAGCAATGAAACAGTTGGCAATTCACCGTTTCCTAAGACGGTCTTATCAGCAGTAAATGGCCAATAAACTTGTGGGCTTTGCATCTCTGCTTTCTGTTCAGTGTATGAATTTAAGGCTTAAAAACACAAAAGATGTTTAAATATAATAAAATCAATGCCTAAACAAAATTTGTGATGTCACCTCACCAAGAGTCATCTGAGAACTTTTGATAATTCAAACTTCTTGATAATTCAAACAAAATTCAGAGGTCCCTTCGAGTTTGAATTATTGAGAGTCGCCTCTAAGGCTAAATCGGCAATACGCTTTATATGCCAGTTCTTGATACATAAATGAGATCACAGCCTGTAAAGCTGAATGCCAATAACTATAGTTGCGAACAACTTTTTCTTTTAAATGAAGTGAAGGCTACAGGGCAAAATTGCGCATATCCTACTGCTAATGAATGTAGTCTTACAGTTGTGTTCTTATTTTCGACGTTAGATATGAAAAATACTGCCTTCATTTTTTGCATAAGCTCTTTGACACAGGACGCAGCTCACACCAGTAAGACAGTCATATTTATTTTACTTTATTCACTGTAAATTTGCGTTTTTAAACTCGTGAGGAAGCCACACCTTTTACGAGCACGCCAAGTGGCCTCTGCATTGAAATAAAATGCTGGTCGCACAAATCCCCGCTTCACGCAGCGATACGGAACTCATGACATACCGGATAGCTCCGCGTAGTAGTATATGTCCAGAAGCACCACCCCTTAATAGTGTCTCCTTCTTGTTCCCCCTATTCGTGCGACGTCTTTTAGTTGTAAACTGTCAACGCCATTCTCAAAAAGTGCCATGTTGCTTACTGTAAAACTGCTGTTTATCGCCCTACGAATGGCTTCCCTGAATGCTTTAACCACGCACTCAGCGACAAGCTCTCAATGTATCGTTGCCACTGATGACACAAATCAGGATGCCATTCTGCTCTTGGTCATCTACGCCTACAATACTACCCTTCTGAGCACTACCCTTTTTCCTAATACAGTCGAAACCCGCAATAACGAAACCCCGCGAGTACGATATCCCCGCGGCAACGAAACATTTCCGGATCCCCAACGAACGTTCATAGCCCATGTATTGCATATCTCGCGGCGACGAAATGTTTTTGGACAGCGATCCCGCATTAACAAATTTTCTACCACTGTGCGGGCCTTATTTTACCCTCCCGCCAAAGGTTAACTGTCGAAAATATGCTCGTATGCATGTTATGCGCGCTCAAAATTTTTAAACGTCTGCTTTTGCTGCGCTAGCGTGGGTACCACCATTTTTGTTTACTTAAGGGAGGATGTGGCTTTGGGATCACGAAAAATGGCAAAAAAATCAATTTTTTGAAAATCAAGTTTTTAGCTTCTGGAACCCTTTTTCTACCTGATTCCAAAATATCTACACTAAAAACTGCCCAGAAGTGTTTCGAAAAAATGCATTTCACAAACCTAGGTAGCAAAACTTTTTCTGGAAATCGGGAGAAAATAGCGATTTTCAAAAAATTATGCCTTCGCGATGGCGGGGCCGGGAGCCGGCTTCTTGGGCTCATCGGAGAGAGCATTTCTCCGTGTAACTTTCCCGCCTCAGCTGGCTCCTCCTTTTAAAAACAAGCGCACAAAAAGCAAATGTTTGAAGGTGGTTTCGAGACCATTGATTGGCTGTGGCCACCATGTTGCCTCAGCTCGCTTCGCCATTGGCCCGATGCTCGCTCCAGGAGATCGTTGTCTGCTGCTTGTGCGTCGCGAGGGCATGGCTCTCGAAAATTACTACTTCGTGCCGTGTTCACGGCTCGATGATCACTTAAGATATAATTAGGCTTTAGTTAGGAGCAGTGGGCGAATGCGCGGTCAGGTTGCTACGAGTGCGGCGCGTCATCGGAGTTGTCTTTAGCTCTCACTCCGCCGACAGTGAGACTGCGGGCAGGAACGACGCGCTAGTGCACTCGTAACGACGTGCTTCGCCACAAGCAACGAAACTGTAAGCGGCGGCACGGTCAGATTACTACGAGTGGCCGAATCGGATGCACGATCAGATTACTACGAGCAGGCGCAGGGTCTACGTGCGCGGCACGTGGTCAGAGTCGGCTTTAGCCCTAACTCTGCTGACAGCGAGACTGCGGGTAGAAATGACGCGCTAGCGCATCCAAAACAACCCGCGGGTTGTTAGTTGTTTTGGATGCGTTGGACACTCTTCGCTCCTTCGGTGCACATGACGACGACGTCATGTGCACCGCAGTGCGAAGGGAGAGCTTTGAAGTTGTTGCATGGCAAGGGTCAGCAAAGTAAGTTGACCGACTTCTGGCAGTAAATTTTCGTTCTGCTGGCCGTATCACTGTTTTTGTGTTTCATAGTCGCGGCAACGAAATTCTCGCGAAAACAAAATTTTTCAGTTTCCCCGGCGATTTCGTTATTGCGGGCTTCGACTGTATACGCCGGACACCTGTTATACACAATTCACTAAATCCTTTCGTACAAGCCAGATCGATCTCAGTGTGCACCTGTTTCTGCCACAGCCAGCCTTGAAGAGTGGAAGCATGTGACTTTTACTACACATGACCAAGAGTGGCAGAAGAGCATTTGCATTGGGACCTTCAGATTTGCACCCTTTTCTTCCTCCCTGGAGTGCTCATATGGCTGTTGGCCCCTGCCACTGGCCTCTCTTCAAAACTACAAGCCCCTACTTTGTCCTCAAATGAACATACGCAGTCAAATACTGCTTTGAGCCCACTGAACCATTTCTCCACATGTTCTATCAAGGGCATGACATTGTCAAGGTGGAGCATCGCAACGCTTACCACTCATGGTGCCAAGCTGTTAGGTAGCCAGGTGGCTCCTTTCAGTACGGGTAATTGTAGCAAGGATTCAAAACACAGTATCAAGCCATTCTTTTTAATCCTTCCTAGTGGGTCATTTTCTTCAGCTCCTTCCCGAGAGAACAGCGCTGGTGCTGGGAGCCAATGCTCTACCTTGACTGCCATCGTCGTACATTATTGGCAAGTGCCCACCAATAAATGCAATATTAGACCCTTCAAAACGCATGGAATCAGTCGTATTCTACAATAGGCTCTTCTTTAGTAGACACAGAAAAGCTGCTCATCAACACTCCTTCTCACAAGATTGTCAACCTTTCATCGACCAGTGTAAGCAGCTGTGACTCAGTGGCATACTTCAGAGAAAGGATACGAAAACTTGAGAAGACCCACAGAAGGATATTCATCATGCCCAGCCCATATGCTGGTGAAGCCTCACTCAGTGCTTCTTCTGGATCAGAAAGCTCGCAGTATAAGCTTGGGACTTGTTGAATATTGTGTAAACGATGACGAGCGATGCTATAATCGTTAGGAGTATATTGATTCATTGATTTGTGGGGTTTAACGTCCCAAAACCACTATATGATTATGAAAGACACCGTAGTGGAGGGCTCCGGAAATTTCGACCACCTGGGGTTCTTTAACATGCACCCAAATCTGAGCACATGGGCCTACAACATTTCCGCCTCCATTGAAAATGCAGCCGCCGCAGCCAGGATTCGATCCCGCGACCTGCAGGTCAGCAGCCGAGTACCTTAGCCACTAGACCACTGCGGCGGG